AGGAATGGATATATTTATGGCCGGGGAGGGTAATTGTTGAGCTACAAGTGGTGGAACAGAATGACATATATATCGATGCATATATAATGTTAAAAGGAAAGGATAATTATAACTTAGGTCAACTTCAATTAAGCTACCAAGCCATATATGCAAGTTCGTTTCAGCTAAGTTTAGCGTTATTCTTGTCCGACCGACCTTACAAGGTCGTTCTAATCTAATTGTCTAATCCAACCACTGGACAACATGCATTGATGCATGAATGCATCGTGCATGTTTATGACACTTAATCAATTACACTGGATGGTTAAGATTGACTAATTGCACTACAACCTCGGGTCTTCTTTTTTCAAAAAAAAAATCGTTGACATTGTGTGATGGGACAGCTAACGGCCGGTAGGGATTAATTATTGCGTTGTTTTTATGACCAACAATGAGTCCTTTCCCATAATGACCAAAGGACAATTAGAAAAATATGTTTGGGGATGCTCTCTTCAAGCTTATCTTTAAATCGCTCACTAGCTAGTTGGCTCGGCGCTACCACACCGTAAGATGCTCTTCAACAAATTGTATGACTCCAAATAATTGCATGATTAGCTAGGATGGCGCCAGCAAAAATTGACATTATACCTTTTTTGGCACAACATCGAATCCAAGATATCTTGAAGCTAGGTATTTCTTCTCACTAGTACAAAATCGATTTTTCATAGCGTAAACTTTTTTTTTTCTGACGGCCATACATGATCATCGTCAGCAAAAATACTCTTGAGGGGTGGGAGGCTATGGACAAACCCCTCTGGCGATTATGAAAACAATATTTAGCATAGTTGTTTTGTAAATTCCCTCTTTTTTTTATCTTCCGGTAAATAATAATTATTATATTGTATAATGTAACATATAGTGTAATAGTAGCCTCTTAGGTTATTTTTCGTTAAAAAAATGATAAAAGGTCTATAAGCTTGTAGTATGAGTTTTTGTGTATGCTATATTCGTCAATTATTTTCATCAGGTTTGTGCAGGATCAGGAATTCCTGGATCAGGCATTGCTTTGAAGTCCAACTTCCGAAGCATATTAACATCATTATTTAAAAAACATATACAAAAATTTGTCTCAATTGTTGAATAAATGGGCTAGGCCCGATTTAATTCAATTAAATTTCATAGGCCCACAATTAATGTTAGAGACAATAATACCACCTTAAAAATTTAAGTGGAGAGATCTCATCTTAAATAGGGAGACAATTAAGACTTCTTGTTGACCGGTTGAGAAAGATGGGTAGACTGTGCGCCCCGGCGGGCCAGGCCGTGGCATGAGGCTGAGCGGTAGTTGCTGCTCTCTCTCTCTCATTTTGTAATGTATGGTAATTGATTCTGTGTTACCGTGCACCAGCGGAGGTACGTAATACAAATGCCTCAACCTCCACTGCACCATTTTTCTGGGTATATGGTTCTATCTCCAATTGATGTCATTTTTCTGGGTATATGGTTCTATCTCCAATTGATGTCCTTCCTGTTATTTACATTTTGATCATGCTATCCTTAGAATTACAATCCTATGTTAATTTATATTATAAAAATCATGCTCATGTTGACTACATCTAGCACTGTCACTAGATCAAATCCCTTTGTGAATATCATATTTATTATCTTTCTATTTTGGATTAAAATATGCCAAATTATGACCAAATTTCCAACATCAATAACTACGTTGTGCATATAGCACAACAGAAATCAGTGATATGATTGAGTTGAAGGTTTTATTAATTTTTTAAGAAAGTGGACGTGTCAAATATGAAATGTCTTGATGTATAGTCAGAAATAAAGTTTTTTTAAAAAGGAGACAGTAGCTTGGAGGTTTTTTTTTAGGAAGGTCCAGTTACCCTTACCATTGAATTTGTCTAAAACACACCCCTCAATTTTAAAATCAGACATGTTACACCCTCAAGTATCAATGCCATCTAAATTACCTCCTTAAGGTTGTTTTCACCAAATTAGAGTCATTTTCGTTTATGTGACATCAGCAAAAAAATAATATCAAAGAAATCGGAAACCTGCTTGTTAGGGCCTTCTTCTTCCTCCTTCCCCATCTTTCTCTCTTTAGTCCCTTTCTTTGCCCCGTACAAAGCATCTGGATTCCCAGGCAAGGCTCCAAACTCAGAGGCTAGCACCGGCAAGCTCAAGAGAGAGATTTGGGCGAGCACCGCGCGAGTTCATCTAGGAACAGATTCATCTTGCAACGATGACACTAATGGCGTCATGCAAAGGGCAATCTAGTGCTTCTTTTCTCCGGACCATCTTCGACCAGCATAGTCGCCAGCAAATTCAAGCCTTCTCCCCAAGATCGAGGATAATGTAATCTTGCGCGAGTGGCTCTGGCGATGGTAGGAGCTTTTGGTGGTAGCTGGGATCGAGCACCACCTCTGTTGTTGCACCCCCGAGCACCGGTGAGCTTGATCTTCCCCCACCCTGTCGACCTTCTGAGAGCCGATGAGCTCGAGCTCCTCCTTCGCCTTTCCGAGAGCTCGTAAGTTCTAGATCCCCCTCCCTTGTTGCTGTCGCTCTGACCTTCCATCCCACGCTAACCGCCGGTGAACATGAAATCGTGTTGGCGATATCGAGCTTGAGATCAGCACCGACGCGTGACATGAGCTCGACGGTGGAGCTTGAGTTGCTTGGGGACACTATGTTCGGCAGAGGTGACGGGGCTTAGGGTTGAGGAACTTGAGCTTGACGACATGGCGGAGACAACAAGGTCGTGATTCATGAAGGTGGTGGTGGTGACCTCCTCGACTTCTTGCTGCTCCATGTATCAACCCATCAGATCCTGCACCGTCACTCACCGCGACATCTCCCCTTCATGTGCCTCACCATGGATGTCGATGGACCACCTTAGAGGAGCGGGGGGAGGGGGTGGGAGCTCGTGGGGGGTGGAGATAGGAAGAGAGGATGCCGGGGACCTAGGGAGGGAGCTTGTCAGCTGCTTATGCTCCTCGGAGAGATTATCTAAAGAGGAAGGATGAAGAAGGAAGGGATGGTCCTGACTGGTGAGACCTTATGCTGACGTGGCATTCAAAACCAATATAACATTGCTCTATGGGGGTAAAATGTCCGGTATTGACGGTTGGAGGGTGTATAATACCTGGTTTTGTAGTTTGGGGGTGGGGTTGTGAAATGGACTTTTCCTTATTTTTTAATAATGAAATTCTAGGCATCACCAATGTCGATGTTCCCTCGCCCTAGATCTACGGCGATCTAAGCTTGACCTCCTTGTCGATGTCAAGTGTAGCCACGATAGTGATGGAGGTGGCTGACAACAGGAAAGGGGGATGGAAGGGGATGAGGCACGTGCCTCAGTGGTACATTGTCCCACCATTCGGCGAGGGTGGTGGTAGCGATGGTGGGGAGGGTGAAGGCCTTCCGTAGCCCTGACGGCAATTTTAGTGGGCAACATATTTATGCATTGCTAGAAGCTGTATCCGGGCAGACCCCACCGCCACGTGCGTTTCTCGAGGTATGCATGTTTCTAGCGTTTCCCTCCAACGGTGGCCAGGAAGAAAATTGCATGCGTTATGCGGATCGATCCTCTAAATATGCTAAGGCTTGGAGGTACTCTTTCCATTTCAAAATGTATGATGCCATTGACTTTTCGCATAATGTTTGATCATTCTTCTTATTAAAAATATTATATATAAATATCATTTATTTTGTTGTGACTTTTATATTTTTTTCATATTAAATATTTGATATGGCGAATGGTCAAATGTTTTAAAAAAAGTCAATGGCGCCATATATTTTTCAAAATGAGGTATATTGATGAACAATACATAATTTTTTTAGATAATGGATTATATTAAACCCGGCCTCTACACCTTGTGAGGATGTACACAGCCTAAAAGTCACAAACACGAGTACATAAGACTATCCCGTTACATGGGTAAAGCATAAAAAGTTTTTAAAGACGGACAACAAGCAAGAGGAACTAAAAGCTAAGCTTCAATTCTTCTTCTAAAGTTCCACCCAAAAGTAGAGAAAAGCTCCATCATACGCTTCTCTAAAAGCTTGCATTTCGCGATTACTTCAATGCCTTCGTCTTCCTTAAGAAGCAAAGACCAAAGCCTTGCCAACTGAGTTGCTTTGAAAATTACCTGCAAGAAAGATACGTGGTTGTAGCCATTAAAGACTAACTCATTCCTACTGAGCCACAAAGAACAACAAATTGCTGCTATGCCCACCCAAGTTTGTCTTTTAAGTTTAGGTTCAAAACCTCTTAACCAATTTCCAAACAAGTGTGAACTATTAATTACGGGGTTGCTTGATTCCAAAAGTAAGATAGATTGCACTCCAAATGTATCTAGCCATTGTGCAATCAAAGAAGAGATGTTGAATTTACTCATTAGAGTTACAAAAGCTACAAAGCAAGCTACCCTTCTATCTTCTTTTAGCAAGATTATTTTTTGTTAGAATCACCCCCTTTCAATATACCAAAGGAAAATTTTAATTTTTCAAGGAATCCTTAGCTTCCAAATTAAAGATTTCCTAGGTATTACACCATTAAACATAAGAGCTTTATACATGGAGTTTGTAAAACAACCCATTTTTATTGCTCTTGCAAAAGAATTGGTCTTGCCTATCATTCAAATTGACACTCACCACATTTGAAGCAATATTAACTCCATGTTCTTCCAAGTTTTTCTCTATAATTGCTTTTCTAAAAGAAACATTGAAAGGGGTCCTTCTAACACATCGGTCACTATCAAGTTTTTATTTCTAATCAAGTTATACAAGTTATACAAGGTTGGAATACGTAATTTATATTGACTAACTTGGTAGACTTTGCAGGTCTAGTTATAAATGTAGTGGGAGGACACATGCATGACAGCTAGATGCATGGCTGAGTATAGTAGTAGTTAATTAGTAGCTCGATGATCGATGATGGATAAGCGGCCGGGAGGCCAGCGCGCTGCCAAGGAAGAAGTAGAGATAGATAGGTAGATATGTGGTGGATGGCGTTGAGGGCAGTAGCAGTAGCAGGGGCCCTGCTGCTGCTTGTGGTTGTGGGTTCTTCCGCCGCCGGTGCCGGTAGTGGCAGCTGCCAGACAAGGTGCGGCGACGTGGACATCCCGTACCCATTCGGCATCGGCCCCAACTGCTCCCGCGGCGTTGGGTTTGAGATCGAGTGCAATACGAGGAACGGCAGCGGCGACTTGGTGCCGACCCTGGCGGCCACCAGCTTGAGCATCGTGCAGAACCTGTCGGTGGAGTCGCCTCCAATGGCGAAGGTGATGCTGCCGGTGGCATACAAGTGCTACGACGACCCAACAAAAACCCAAGATTTCAACGGCGAGGTAGAGCTGAACAAGACCGGCGTGTACCGCATCTCCGATGAGCTGAACATGCTGGTCGTCCTCGGCTGCAACACCATGGTGTACACCAAGAACGGCAACAGTGAGGGCGGCCTATACCCGTACCTCTACTACACCGGCTGCATCGCCTACTGCAACGACTCCAGGAGCGCACAAGACGGCAAGTGCGCCGGTGCCGGCTGCTGCCATGTCGACATCCCCGGTGGCCTCACCGACAACACCCTCGTCTTCGACTCGTGGAACCGTACCAAGTAGGTGGATTTCAGCCCCTGCGACTACGCCTTCCTCGTGGCCAAGGAGGAGTACGTCTTCCAGAGGTCTGACCTCAATAAGGAGCTGAACCGGAACATGCCAGTGTGGCTGGACTGGGCCATCCGCGACGACGACTCGGCCTGTCCTCCGCTGGCGCTGGGGAAGAAACCACCAGCTGGGTCGTACGCCTGCGTCAGCGACAACAGCGAGTGCGTCAACTCCACCAACGGCCCCGGTTACTTCTGCAGGTGCCTCCCAGGCTACCATGGGAACCCTTATGAGTATTACGATGACAAGCAGGGCAAAGGATGTCTGGGTACGTACCCATTATATACTCCCTCCATTTCTAAATATTTGATACCGTTAACTTTTTAGCTAGCACATGTTTGACCGTTCGTCTTATTCAAAAACTTTTGTAAAATATGTAAAACTATATGTATATATATAAGTATATTTAACAATAAATCAAATGATAGGACAAGAATTAATAATTACTTAAATTTTTTGAATAAGACGAACGGTGAAATATATTTAAAAAAGTCAACGGCGTCAAATATTTAGAAACGGAGGGAGTATATATATGTATATGCAGCCCACAGCAATTTATATTACTAACTCTTAATTAGTACTCCCTCCGTTTCAGGTTATAAAACTTTTAACTTTACTCAAAGTCAAACTACTCTAAGTTTAACTAATTTTGTAGAAAAAATAGTAATATTTTTTATTCCAAGACTAATATATTATAAAAATTTATTTAATTATAGATTTAATGAAACTATGTTGGTGTTATAAATATTACTAATTTTTTTTTATAATTAGTTAATCTTAGAATAGTTTGACTTTGATAAAAGTTAAAACGTATTATAACCTGTCTGAAACGGAGGGAGTAATTCATTAACGAGCAAACGGATGAATTATATATACTACCATGCATATGTGTGCAGACATCAACGAGTGCCTAGCGCCCGAGCTGTATCACTGTAACGGAGTATGCAACAACATCCCAGGCAATTACACGTGTCATTGCCACGCAGGTTACCAGTCTAATGATGCAAAGACACAACGGTGCACTCCTAAGTTCCCCGTTGCATCAAGAATTGCACTTGGTACGTCCATATATACGTATTGCATCTCTATTAATTATTAGTTCCACATTTATTAATTTGTTAGTTTCAAGCTTATATTTTATATTAAAGTAAATTTCACAAAACTACATGTATTTTGACTAAGTTATCACAAAAATATGCATATTTAATATTAAACTTATCATAAAACTACAACTTTTGGAGTTTAAATCCCTAGCACCATTGTTATGGTGGAGTTATAAACATTATTACTTTGTGATTAAATTGGTTCTAGACCTATAGTTTTATGATAATTTAGTTGCTAAACGTGTAGTTTTGTGACACTTCATCTTAAATGTGTAGTTTTGTGATAAATTTGGTGTTAAATGTGTAGTTTTGTCATACACCGAGTTAAATCTGTAGTTTTATGATAGTTTGGTAATAGTATATGTGGTTTTGTGAAATTTACTCTTTATATAATTAAGCACCTACAAAATGAATTATTAGCTAACTAGGTCAATGGGTGTTTATTTGAAACTTTACAAAATATATACACTTTAAGCAAAACTCATAAATATAAAAGGGATTATAAGGTGCTAATCCATGATTCATCATTGCACAAAAGGATCGATTGTACGTAGTAAATCCAGACTTAATTAATTAGCTCTGTCCTAACCATCAATTTCCATGAGGAAACCAAGAGAATAACTTTATAAGAACGAGTACAATATGTAAATGAACTGTACAAATTACTATCATATTTATGCTTATATGAAGGAGAGAGGATACGAGAGAGAAAAAAAACGGGTTACAGATTTATAGCCAGCTACAGTGATGACTCTAATAAACCATGTGAGAGATGAGTGGATTAGGTATTAATGATGTAATATATATTGATATTAGATATTGACTATATATGATAGTTTATTTTTTTAACTAGTAGTTGGCTATATTATTAAACTTGCTATAAGATTAAATTGTATTTTTTTCAAATATTCCAAGCAATAACTGAGGTAACTTTCATAATTAAAGCATGTTACTGTTACTCGACAAAAGTGTTTGGACTAGCGTCCACGTAACACATAGTAGATTACAGCATCCTATATATATGATCATTTTATTTCTACGAAACCAAAGCATTCATACTAATTCACACTGGTGGAGAAAGGGGCTTTATTCCCGGGTGGGAACCCCCCTATACTCCTGGTTATCCGGGACTAAAGATGCCCATCTTTAGTCTCGGGTGAAATAACCGGGACTAAAGATGGTGAGAGCAGTCCCGGTTGTTTTTTTTTTCTCAAATCGATCTGCTCCCTAAATATCCTCAATCATATCCTCAAATCATCTAAAAAGAAAACTAGCATCACAGATCTAGAAAGAAATGCATCACAGATTCTCAAACAAAAAATACATCACAAATCCTAAAAGAAATACACCATAACTCAAATATATCCTAGATCAAATCCAATATCACATACATCACAGATCAAATCCAATCCAATATCACATATATCACAGATCAAATCTAATGAATCACAAATTAAAAAAAATCCGGCAGCAGAGGGGAGGGTGCCGCCGGCCTCCCGTCCTCTCGCCTCCGCGCCAACACGGCCGCCGCCGCTTCCGCCCGGCCGGCCGCCGCGCCCGGCCGTCGCCGCTCCTGCCTGGCTGCCCGCCCGCCCGCCCCGCCCGCCGCACTCGCCCGGCCGGCCATCGCCGCTCCCGCCCAGGCGCTCGCCCGCCCGGCCGTCGCCGCTCCCGCTTGGCTGGCCGCCTGCCGCGCTTGCCTGGCTAGCCGCCCGCCCGGCCGCCGCCGCTCCCGCCCGGCCGGCGCTCCAGAGAGGGGAAAGGGGCAAACGGGAAAGGAAGGGGAAGGGGAGAGGAAGGATCAGATGGGGAATGAAGGGGAGAGGAAGGGATGGAGAGGAAATATTAATGAGAGGGGAGAGGAGATCGAGAGAAGAGCGGATAAAGATGGCGCGCGCGGCTCGAGGTGCTCTTTCCTCCCGGTTGGTATAAACAACCGGGACTAAAAATATATCTTTAGTCCTAGTTGTTTATACAAACCAGGAGTAAAAATAGTTGCGGTCTGTCTTGAGCCCGACAATTTCTTGAACCGGGAGTAAAAATAATTTTTAGTACCCCTCAACCTAAAGATCAAAAAAGTACCCCTCAACTTTTAAACCGGGACTAAAGATGCTTTTTAGTCCCGGTTTTTATTAGAACCGGGATTATTGTGAAATTTGGCTGACCGACCTGATTTCTCCACCGGTGTCAGTCTTTAAAAATTATTAAAATTAAACTAGTCATCATCAACCTATGCAAGCATGGGGTTTTACCCTTTTGTTTTTGTGTTAGCCATAATGAATTATGTTTTGAAGGATATTCCCTCCATTGCATACTATAAGTTATATTGAATTTATTATAAGTCAAACTTCTTATTTAAGTTTGACCTAGTTTACATAAATATATAGGAACAATTTTAATACAAAATATATACACTATGAAAATATAATCAATGATGGATTTAATAAAACTAATTAATTTGATGTAATATATGTCAGTATTTTTTTTATAAATTTAATCTAACTTGAAGATGTTCGACCCGTGACAAACCCAAGGTGAGTAATAACACTAGTACAGATACTTCTATATGTGACGGGCTCTAATGTGCTTAGAAATAGCGGACCGTCACAAGGAAGTCATCTTAATCGGGCCTAAAAGTGCCCGATTGAGATATGGTCACACAGACATGTTAGATGGGTATAAAACTTAAGGCCGTCACGGATGACACCTATCAGTGACGGGCCACAACTTTAGGCCCGATTGAGATAACATTCCATATCTCAAACGGGCCTAAAGTTGTGGCCCGTCACAGATGACCATCATCTGTGACGGGCCACAACTTTAGACCCGTTTGAGATAACATTCCATATCTCAAACGGGCCTCAAGTTGTGGCCCGTCACAAATGACCATCATCTGTGACGTGCACCAACTTGAGGCCTGTTTGAGATAACAACTAGGCCCGTCACAGATGACTCATCAGTGACGGGCTATATACTTAATCTCTATCGGGCATTAACTAAAGCCCGTCACCGATGACTATTTTTCCATTTTTCATATGAAATGGAAAAATAATTTTACTATAGCAAAATAATTTTACGGGTAGTAAATGATTTCAAATAGAAAAAATGTCAACAACAAAGTTGTATAACTTATCAATATTTACAACTTTTAGTTTGGTCATTTTTCAATATAACATTATTTTGAACAATTTGAATTAGAATTTAAAAATATGACAACTTCAAACAATATTTTCAAATACTAAATGATTTCAATTGAAAAAGTCATCAACAACAAAGTTGAATAACTCATCAATATCTAAAACTTTTATTTTTGTTATTTCTTCATCTGACGAAATGTTAGTAATATTATTCACAAATTTTACATATATGTGTTATAGTTTATAAAACCAGATAAGAGATATGTCAATTTTGTTAACAATGTTACTATCACTTTGTCGTATGAAGAAATGACCTAAATAAAAGTTTTAGATCTTGATGAGTTATTCAACTTTGTTGTTGATGACTTTTTCAGTTGATATCATTTAGTATTTGAAAATATTGTTTGAAGTTGTCATATTTTTAAATTTAAATTCAAACGGTTCAAAAAATGTTATATAGAAAAATGACCAAAATAAAAGTTATAGATTTTTATGAGTTATACAACTTTGTTGTTGATGACTTTTTCAATTGAAGTCGTTCACTGATCTAAAATTCTATTTGAACTTTTCAAACTTTGAATTTCAAATTTCAAATTGTTTAAATAGAGTCAGATGGAGAAATGACCAAAATAAAAATTTTGCACCTCAATGTGTTCTACAACTTTGGTTTTGGTGACTTTTCCATTTGAAATCATTTAATAACCCCAATTTGATATTCTGGCCTAGGGCATAATAGGATTAATAGAATACTCGTACCAACATGTTACAATTACTTTTTCGGAAGCCAATCTCTAAAAAACTTTGACGTTAAGTGTGCTTGGTCCAGAGCAATTTCGGGATGGGTGACTGACTGGGAAGTTTGAACTTCCCGCGTGAGTGCACACGAGTGAGGGCTAGCCAAAAAATAAAATTTATTTTTTTGGAATATACTCATCTGTGACGGGCATTAACTCTAGCATAAGTTAATGCCCGTCACAGATGAGTAATGCACACGAGTGAGGGCTAGCCAAAAAATAAAATTTATTTTTTTGGAATATACTCATCTGTGACGGGCATTAACTCTAGCATAAGTTAATGCCCGTCACAGATGAGTAATGCCCGTCACAGATAAGGGTCATCTGTGACGGGCGCTAGTTGTGGCCCGATTGAGATAGATCATCTGTGACGGGCTATAGTTTGACTGGTCGTCTGGGTCAAAGCTATCGGTGACGGGCTTTACTTAGGGCCCGATTAAGATAGAATCATCCGTGACGGCCGTTTGCCCGATTGAGATAGCTCTTCACATCAGTGACTTCTAGCCTGTGACGGACGCTATGCCCGATTGAGATGGGGCTTACCGCCCGATTGAGATGAGGGTATCCGTTCTAGTGCAATATGAAACGGAGCAAGTAAGTATTAGTTCTCGTGTAAAAGTTGGTAAAAAAATGAAGCTAGCTAACCATAGATGCTTGTGCCGTTTACCTAAAAAAATTTCCATGCACACACTACCAATACAAATTGATGGTTTGATGCATCAAACGCAAATGCATATCACTAGCAAAAGTTAGGCCTCGATCGATATAAAAGCTTCTGGTGCTGATCACTTTGCATAGAGTGCATCTCAAAAAGCTACAACTATTTTATCAAAACTAATAGTTTTTTTCTACAAACTTGAATTAGGCATTTCGGAGAACTACAACAGTATTAAAGTATGTTATCAGGAAGTTGCAATTTTATATGTTTGGACTAATTTGGACCCACCTGTCACACAAAGATGCATTACTTATGTTGTTGCTAGGATAATATTTAAAAAAAGACCCGCACAAAATAGTGCAAAGTTTTGTATTGATATAGCAGAAAAAAAATACAAGTTTATAGCCTTGGAAGTCTATAGCTAGGAAAAGAAAAACAACACATCACGCTTACAACCGGAAACCCACTATTGAAGAACAAATAGGTACATGGCTCCCCTATGGGAAGAGAACCTCAAACGATGCCTCCATGGAGGATACGACGCCGAGAATGCCGCCATCGTCACCCGTCCTGGGACAGGACGTGGTTTTCACCTGAAGAAATCCATTAGAGGGAGGGAGTAGGAGAGATTCTGCAACAATGCACCAAGGGAAAGCAGCACCCGCAAGCGTTGCTGTTGTCGACCCAAATAGGCTAGCTTTTACCCGTAATCTTCCAACCGCCATGCCAAAAATGCACCTACTCGCATCAGCAACAACCACCAACTGAGCACCTTCAATGCACAACCACCATGCCAATGCCTCACCTCCAGCCGGCCATCAAGTAGGAGCTCGACGTCTGGCACACCCAATCTCCATCCATACAATTGGGTTGGCGAGGGCAAGGGTGAGAGATAATAATGGATCCCCTCTCCCCCGCACTAGCCAGCCAGCATGGCCATCTTATGGCAGCAAGGCACTGCCACAAGAGGACTAGCATCTAGATGAGAGTCCGCCGCAAGCCTGCACCCCCACCTCACGCCGCCGCCATAGGCACCTTGGCCAAGCCCACATCACCGCCACCATAGGCCACCCGATTGCACCGCCATCGCCTTGCCCTGAAATCGGCTGCCGTCACTAGATCATGCGGCCGCACCTCGCCAGCAGCACCATCCCATCGGTCGTAGCCGCGTCTCGCAGCCACCGGTAATCACTGCGTCATCGTCCTCCCATCACTGGCTGTGCTGCTTGGCACTGGCTGTGCTGCTTGGCACCTCCACAGCTACGCACCACCTCACCATCTCCACGGCCTTACTTTGCTTCGCCACTCATGCCACCACCCACTCCCCTGCTAAACCCCGACGAAAGCCACCGCCTGATCTGGCCGTGAAGGTAAGGATCCAGCCACGGTTGTGACGGATTCGGTTGCACCTACCGGATCTAGCCGTCGCCTGATCGCCACGAGCCGCCTCACGCCGTCGCCTGGCCGCATTGCGTCTTCGCCCTTTGTCTATCCCTGCACCACTGCACTGCAACGCCATGCTGGGTCGCGGCGCTGTGCCACCTGTAACAGCCCTCCCTCCAGAACCGCGTAGCCCAGCCCAACCGACGAGCGGGCCCACTTACACACACCACCCCACTTACACTTTCGTCCTCGCTTCGTGTAAAAGGGTTAACCCGGGAGTGATGTCGTTGGAGGGAAGAGGCCTTATAAGTCGGTTCCACTCGTGCTAAACTAGCAAGGTGGTACTAAACATGCGCACACAGCTCACATGGGCCACACAGGCCTAATCCTTATTGGGCCGGGATGTCACACCACCTCTCTCACATGAGTGGTGGCTCACCGCTGGGAAAGATTCCCTATTGCCGTCATCCTGGCTCGCTCCGTCGGCGGTGAGTTGAAGATGGGTCTGGGGGATATGGGTGGGGCGGTGGCTAGGGCTTTCACCCCGAGCTGCCCGCGCGGGAGGGCAACACAGGGGCGTAGTTTGCTAGGGATAATATAATCCAAGGCAGCGTTGATTTTTTTGGAGAAATATTGAATCATTTGATTATAGAAATATTTGTTGATGTTAATAGGATGCACTTGTAGAAGTTACCCATTATTACGTAAGAACTAAAATTTTCATATTAATTGGAGAGAAAATTCAACAATAATCCATCTTTGTGAAGTATCTTAAAATCCTATGAAAAGGAGAGAATTCCTATACTTTCAAAAGGAAAAAGAAAGGAGGTTTGAATTCTCCTCCACTTTGTTAGGTGTGTTTGTATCTATCTCTCTCCCCTAACATATTCATGTGATCTAATAACTCAAGTTTCACAAACTGTATGTTGAAATTTCTTAGCTTTTCACGTGTTTTTCCTATTTCTGTGTTTTTTGTTCCTTTGTTCCAAAAGAGTTGGAATAAAATTGAATACCCACAAAAGGAAAGCCCAATTTATTGGATTAGCATGACAATAAATCCAATTCGTAAACAAATCTAATCCCTAACATCCATGCATAACACGCATTAAAAATATGTATTAGTCCATATTTATGTTTGAATTAATACCCAAATTAATACCCAAATTGAATTCCATGTTGAGATCTAGCTCCTAAATTTAAGTAGTTATTCTAAGAGAGTTTGCAATTGAATTCTACTTTGAGATCTTTTTCCCTGTTAAGGTGAGAATTTCTAGTATTTTCTTTTTCCAGATTATAGTGTGGGAATTTTTAGTTTTCGTATGCCCTAAATTTAGCTTTTTTAACCTTTAGAATCATCAGTAACTAAACCAAAATGGTAATAACAATTGACATGAATTTGTTTTCTTTGTAGGTGTCTGCTTGGGTTTTTCCTTCCTGATTGTCGCTTTTCTTATTACACTTGTGATGTTTCAAAAGCAGAAAATGAATGAATATTTCAAAAAGAATGGTGTTTCAATACTACAGAAAGTGGACAATGTCTAGATTTTTTCCAAAGATGAGCTAAAAAAGATCACAAAGAACAATTCAGAGGTTCTTGGTCAAGGAGGCTTTGGTAAGGTATACAAGGGGACTCTTGGAGATAATACTATTGTCGCTGTGAAGACCTCAATTGAGGTAAATGAAGCACGAAAGGATGATTTCACAAATGAGGTAATTATTCAGTCGCAAATGATGCACAACAACATTATCAAACTTTTGGGTTGTTGCTTGGAGGTGGATGTTCCGATGTTGGTATATGAATTTGCGGCTAATGGCAATCTGCAAGATATTCTCCATGGTGATGGAAATATCCCTCTACCATTACACTTACGCCTAGACATTGCAATTGAATCTGCCGAAGGTCTAAGATACATGCACTCCTCAACTAATCGTACCATACGACATGGCGATGTCAAACCAGCCAACATACTTCTAACGGATAAGTTCATCCCTAAGATATCAGACTTTGGAACTTCCAAGCTTCTTACTGTAGACAAAGACTTTACCATGTTTGTGGTAGGAAGCATGGGCTACATAGACCCAGTGTTCCATAAGACTGGTCATTTAACACAGAAGAGTGATGTGTATAGCTTTGGAGTTGTACTACTTGAACTCATAAGTAGAAAGCCAACAATATATGGTGAAAATTGTAGCCTGATCATTGAGTTCCAGAAGTCCTACGATAAAGAGAATAGTGGGAGAATGATGTTCGACAAGGATATTGAAATTGAAGAAGACATCCTCATCCTTGAAGAAATTGGCAGGCTGGCAATGGAGTGTTTGAAAGAAAAGGTTGAAGAACGACCTGATATGAAGGAGGTAGCATAACGACTAGTGATGCTGCGAAGATCTAGGAAGGGTGGGCAAGGAAGTTATAGTATAAGCCCTCAAAACTTTGAGGAGATCAGCATCGAGGGGACTCCTAAGAGCTTTGGTGCTGAAATCAGCGAAAGTAGCAATGCGGCGGTTTCTGCACCAGCCACTCCAGCCAACTAAGAACTTTCCAATATCTGAATCAAGAACAATGAGAGAAAAGTTAAAATTAAGAATATATATATATATATATATATATATATATATATATATATATATTCTATCAATGTCATTTTATTAATTTGGAGTAAATTTGTGTATTCAAACATTTGTATCCAACTTATGTTTTCTATAACTAGAACAATGCCCGTGCGTTGCAACGGATTCTAAATAACATTCATCGATATAAATTAAAATTCTAAGCCACGTAATACAATTGGACTGAAAGAAATATGGTTAAATTAAAATACTAAACTATATATCACAATTGGTCTGAAGGAAATATAATCATATAATAACAACATAAAACTACAAATAACTTTGGCCCGAATGATAATTAAAAAATTTTAATATTTTTTAATAGATCAAATAGTGCTCAAATTAATATTGTAAATGAAAAAACAACTGAAATTAGCTAAAAAATTTTTAAAAAAACTTATTTCAGCCCATATATGCAAATCCGATCCATGCATTAATTATGAACATATACCCGTTCATTGACATAAATTAGAATTTTTCTGTTATATTCATATTCATATTGTTTAAATATTATGTGAGCGGTCCAGGAGCATGGTTAGGCTAGGCCAGGAAGGAATAGTGCCTTCGTCCATAGATGGTGGAGGTTGGTAACAAAGAAAATCAGATCAACATGGATGCGGTTGGCAATGACGTGGTACTGATAGAGGGAGGGTAACGGCAAGCTCTGGGGATGAACACGATTGGATGTAGGGGTTACTTTTTCCTTCAACGCGTAGGAAGAACGAAAGATGAAGAAACAAACGACTAACAATGTCATCGTCTTCCCTAGCCGAAAGAAGAAACAAAAGAGAAAGGAAGATGGGCGCCGATTCTCTGGTGACCAAACAGCGGCGAGTAAGTTGGCCAGACGTGTCCCACGATATGACTCATCTATAGATGGTGGCGGTTGGCAATGAAGAAAACCTGAATAGCAGGAACAACAATGACGTGGTCCCGACACAGAGAGAAATGACAACGACGAGCTCTGGTGGTGAACGCACAATGAAGAAAACCAGAATAGCAAGAACAACAATGACATGGTCTGACGGAGAGAGAAACGACAATGACGAACTCTGGTGGTGAACCCGGGCGGGTGAGTGCATCAAAACGCGTTCTCAGACGAGGGGGTTCTGTTTTCTTTGAACGCGCAAGAGGGAGGGAATGCAGGGGAGAAGAGGGGCACTGGGAAGAGCAATGAAGAAAACCAAAATAGTAGGAACAACAACGACATGGTCCCGACGGAGAGAGAAACAACAATGACGAGCTCTGGTGGTGAATGTGCACAAGTGAGTGCGTCAAAACGCGTTCCCAGACGAGGCGTTTCCGTTTTCGTCGAACGCGCAGGAGGGAAGGAACGCAGGGGAGAGGAGGTGCGACGGGGAGGAGGGGGCCAAAGAGGAAAAGGGTTGTGAGGGGGAGAAGGTCTGCGGGTGAAGGGGGAGGGCACACAACGGGGGTAGATCGGACGATTTTTTGGATCACGAGGGAGAGAGATGGAGGCCACCGGGAGGAGGGAGCGGGGAGCGGGGATCGGGAGGAGGAGGCGGAAGCGCAGCAAGAGAGGGAGTCGCGGGAGGGGGACGGACGAAAGGGGCACACGGAAACCTTGCATATTTTTTAATTAGGTATAGATTTGAAGCAACATGTATTCTTGTGCTGTTGAAAACATATCTTGTTCTTTATTGTTGTGCACTAGTATATTGCACCATATGAACAATGATCTATATCTACTAAAGTTTACTTTTTATATATTACGGTAAACCTGCATACTAATATTTACCAATACCAATGGAAATGGTTAGTAATAAACCCCTACCACTAAGTTTGATAATATAATTTGTATTCTTTTATGCAGGAGTTCGGTTAAAGTTTGCACTTAACGACCGTCAACAACACCGCAACACTTATCCTTTACTTGTCCCTGAGTAAAGCTCATTGAATTCAATAGAGCAAAGGCTTCATGTATAATGATGCAAACATAGAAAGTATTCCAAGCTATACTTGTACCTATGAACTTTTGAAGTGTCTTCCATATCATTTTCGGTGTTGAAGAATGGATTGACCTTGATTCAAATCGCCTTTACCTTCTGTTGGTACTCCCTCCATTCCATAATATAAGGCACAACCACTTTTCTTAGATGTTCCATAATATCAGGCATACATGCAAGCATGCAATTAACTATGACATCTTCTCCATTAAATTATTACTTTTTTAAATCCTCCACTCTCATGTTATCTAATCCTATTTTTACATGCATTAGTATTTATTAGGATGATCCAAACTACAAGATAATAATAATTATTTCTTGGTCTTTGGATTAAGGGTGGTTGTGCCTTATGTTTTGGAATAGAGGGAGTATTTCATAACGACATTACTAGAAATATAATTCCCGACAATGACGCAGAAATACTTCTGGTGTATTATGGTTACAGAGTTCATCCGCAAGCGCACGGATATACCATTATAGCATTTCACCCGAGAGTATTCCAAGGGTATCGTATTTGTTTAATCCCGTGGGAAGATTATAATAGAGATAACCATACTAATAATTTATATATTACTTGTAATAATCAAAGTCTAAACAAGGGTTAATGTAATCCAAAGGGTAGAGTGAGACGAAGCAGAAACATTAATACTCTCATACATAATTATCTAAGCTAAGTGGAAAAAAAATAGAAAGAACTTATTCCTATACTTCTAGTATATATACATATTATACATGCATCCTAGTTATATGATTACTTAGCTAAGACCCTCTTTCTAATGCCCTCCTGGTGCTTCGAAAAGCCACCCCTGATTGCCGAGTTTCTAACGACAGTCCGTCATGACCATCCAACTGGGGCTAAATACAGAGGAGTATCCTCCCCAGGAAAGTAAGTTAGGACTATATACACGCGCGGAGGAATACCTGTACTGAGCTATCACCAATAGCGGCCCACCTCGCTTCCGCATCATATAACCCCAAATAATGATATCCAGTAATCTAAACACCACGCTTAAATTACCAAATACTACTCTAATATCATCGTCATGACATAGAGCCATCGTATACACGATCATTATACCCACGCCATTGCATTACCCAGATAAGCTAGCATTGTAACCAAGATAATTTGGATATACAATAAAGTTGGTATTCATATACTCAGAAAGTAATATAATACTAGAGTAGTATAAAGAAGAATATTCTAATAAAAGTACAAGTCTTACAAAAGAGAGCGGAGCTACTAGAGCCCTACCCGAATCATTCCGAAGATTTCCCGGACTGAGATTCCTATTCTATTCATATTCCACTTGCTTGAGAACACTACTAAACTAATAAGAGAGCTTGATTCTTCTTGCTTGAGGTGTGTGTTGAAATGGACAGAGTGAGGTCTTTATATAGCCTTGTAATGATGGTTATGGCGGTTGGAAAGGTCGGTAATATCCTCCAACCGCCATAGGGGAGCCATCCACACCGTCCAGCGCCAACCCTGGATCCAGCGGCTGCACGGCAGGTTCAGTCGAACCCAGGGGTTCAGCCGAACCCTGGGCTGGGCCAAACCAGCCCAATCTCGGTTGGCGGCCTCCTCGTTTGCTCCTCTCCGCAGACTTGTGAATTTTGGGCTTGTTGGGTCTTGTCGATTTGGTGTTCTCGACCCATTTGTCTGCAAGTCTGATTCTTGACCGCGTCTGATTGATCGATCTTCTATTTTGCTGCCGATTCTCCTCCATTTATGTTTATCCTCTGCAAGAGGTTAGCATTCCTAGTGCTAGTGGAATATATATTATTTTTACATGAATATGCATTGCAAGCATAACTAGTTCTCTCTTATTTTGGTAATATTGACGGGCGAAATTGATCGATAACAACCATCAACACCTTCCTCTAATGAATTACCTCGGGATTTTTTCGCCCATAAAATATAACTTTACTTATATACTCCTCAGTTGATTCTCTCATATCACTCATTGTGTTTAATCCTAACTAAGGCATTAGTGTTGTCTTTTCTTATCATATCTTTCTAATAAGGCTTATGTGGAGCTTAGGGTAGCGAATAAGAATGACATACTTGCATTAAGCTTGTGCACATGTGTGTGAAAAAGAATATGTATGTGAAATAATGGGAAAATGGAATGATGACTCATTTTTGTATGATAGGAGGATGTAGAATCATAATCATGTGGAATCTTTATTTGGTGGATGTTGACTTTTGGTATAGAAGTATAGCATGTGATGGTGGATGGAATATTTTACTAAACCTCTAATGTAGAGGGAGAGCAATATATGGTAGATGTGCACAAGATCTTTGATCATGAAAACGTGAAGAGAACCTAACAAGGGTCTAAACCATTTGACCAAGCTCAAAATGATAAAAGCAACATATCTATAAGGTTTATCAATAAGATCGACATTTGGCTTTGTTAAAAGTAAAAGATCAATGAGAAGTAGTAGGTAAAGTTATATTGTATCTTTTTATAAAATTTCCAAGGATTCAATAGAAGAAAGCAAGGGTCATATTATCAATCTCTTATTTATGAATCACTTAGATGATATGTGTTCTTAATTATGATATATGTTCAAAAGCACAAGATAAAATGCAATTAATAGATAGTATGCAAGATATTAGCAGGCAAGTCATATACTCTAGCTGAAATATCCAAGCTCATTTTAAAAGTTAAGTTTAATTTTCAGGTACGTTCATGACAAGAGTCTTCAACCTCAAAATTTAGTGAGGAGAGGATAAACATGCAAACCATTGTATAGTGAATGTGGAGACGAGCAACCGTTGTGTCATGGATGCTACGTCTCGTCTCGTGAATGTGCAAGCATCATGTTGTAGCACAAACATGGGTGATGTTGGTATGCGGGTGTATATTGTGAATGCAATATCACCTCACACTTGTTCTTGTACCTAGGTTGCTTCAAAGACATGACAGTGAAAGCAAATGAACTTAACTGGTGGGTCTTTTATTAATGTTGAGTCTTTTATTCATCTTTATTGACAGGCGCAATTGCATGTAACGAGTAAAAAAAATTAGAGGAAATAAAATAACTAGATACCAGGGAAAGCTCATGGGCTATGTACATGAAAAAGATATTCCTCCCCTACAGCTTGTACAAGCGTTTAAGCTTGGCATAAAGACCACGGCGGAGGGAAACATGGTTAGAGATACAAGCGGATGACCCACGAGCTCATTTATAGATCAAATAAGTCGTGATCCGTGGGTGTTCGTATCTTGGCCTGGCTTGCCCCATCTAGATATGCACGTGGATGGGTCAACCCATAAACCTATTTACAAGTTAAATTAGTAGGTAATCCGCCGCCACTGCCTCTGCCAGCCCAAGTAGAAGGAGGAGAAAGGGAATACCAGCAACGGTCCCCTTGTGGTGGCGCAATGGCAGCGACGGCCACGCGGGGGCGCGTTGGCACGACGACAGTGCAGGGTAGGGGAAGAGGTGGGAGGCGGCCGGATAAGGATTGGGGGAGCGGCCAGATAAGAATTGGGAGAAGAATATATATCTGGCTATTTTTCGAAAAAACCCTTGTGTTTTCCATGTTTACAGCGCTACCCCTAGAAGCGGAGTTTTCTCTTCTTTGCGTTGTATTTGTCTGAAACATGAGGGTTTTTTCATAAGAAAAACCATCAGCAAGTCAGGACATGCGAATTATTCACAAAAAGGAGGACTTTTTTGCAAAATTTCCTGAGGAAGTTCACAGCCGAGGAGTTCTAATACGTGAGCGTCGACAGAGGGGAAATTTTTTTTGAAGAAACGGACATAATTGGAGCCCTACGTGCTTTGATTATGTTATCATTACACTAGATGCAGATAGTTAGTACTCCCTCCGTCCCATAATATAAGAGATTTTGAGTTTTTCTTGCATATTTGACCATTCGTCTTATTAAAAAAAATTAGAATTATTATTTATTTTCTTTGTGACTTACTTTATTATCCAAAGTACTTTAAGCATAATTTTTCTTTTTTTATATTTACACAATTTTTTTGAATAAGATGAGTAGTCAAACATTACAAGAAAAAAAATTAAAATCCCTTCTATTATAGGACAGAGGGAGTAGTAATATAAAGGACTAATTCTTCTGTACCAATATCCTGTTTTTTAGAAAGATACCAACATCTTACAACTCTGCCTCTACACCTTGCAAACATACAAGTAGACGACAGCCTCCATCCGACCAAACAAACAATTCAGGCACGGTTTTGCAGGGCAAATGAGACTGCAATTCTGCATCAACTCTTTCATGTCCATGGTCATGCTGTATCGGTGCACTATTCTAAACAGCATCTTGCAACATGCACCCCAGTCACTAGGATGAAAAATATTCAAGGCTCTCCAGTTCAAAGCAAATTTGGCTTGTAGCTATCACTATCGGTACAAGATGAGACAACCGACCGGAGAATAATAAAAAAAACTATGATGCAGTTGAAGGTAGACAGACAGCTTGCTGGGTTAACAGTACCTGCATTCGCGTCTTTGCATGTACGCGAGCGCAAAACAGAACAAAATAGCAACAGTGAAGAGTCTTCCTCATGACAACCAAAAAAATATATATTTACATTATTTCATCGCCTACTTTCAACATTGTACAAACACACATGAAAATTCTACAAGTTTTAGTCTGTTTAAAGTACACATGTACATCGCAGCACTGCTTCTCTGCTCACTGTTTTCTTACACTATATCGAGCCCAAGGGACACAAACTTTCCCACAATCATGCACATATATCATTCTTTCTGGTGCACAATGGGAATTCGCAGTCTCTCATAGGTCCAGCGGAGGGGTTTCCTGTTACATAGCGTGATCATATTGTAAGCTAGATATACTCAACTTGAACTATTCTGTCAAGTGGATTGCATTCAAAATTGAGAAGCAACTAGCCCACTTATTATTCAGCCAATATAACTTATGTTTATGTTTTGAAGGTCTACATTTATTCCACACATGGAACCATGAAAATGAAGGATGTCCATGAAAACATCCTCTAGATGTATGGACTAACGTAACCAAATTAATTTCATCAAAGCACATAGACGATAATTGCGACAAATAAAAATAACCAAGAAAATGAAACTAGTTATCAACAACTTTACACGTGGACTATATTGTTTGACAACAGCCAAATACTCGGTAATCTGTGACTAAAAAATAAGCAGGAAAATGAAAATAGTTATCAACAATTTTAGACATTTCAGTTCAAAAAAATAATTTTAGACATCAAAACAATCATATCATTTGCAAGTAGTGATGGTTTTCACCTTGTGTAGCAGGTCATGTGCAATGTAGTCCCAAGGAAGAGATACCGACATCAAGCAACATTTCAGAGGCAGAAGCTCATGATCAAATCGTTTGTTGGTAGATGCAGCCTCGTAGGCATGCTTTGCCAGCTTTGATGCAGCAGAAGCTGCCCTATGAACAAAGACTCGAAAGCTATCTCCTGGATCTTTCTTTGATCTCTCATGGCTCTGATCTAATAAAAGACAATCATTTCCATGTCAGAGTTTGACGGATCAACAACTTGCATCATCACAGCTACGGTAATCCAAGACATGAATGTGCATGTTGGGGGGTTGTACAGAAAGGATATTTGTAAGCACTTTAATATTGTATCATTTAACATAGCAAATGCTAAATGAAAACGCATTGCAACAAAAAGTGGCGACTGGTAGAACAATCAACAGTAATAAAGATATGAGAGTAGTTTACCATAGTCAGAATGTGCATCACGATTTTATCTGAGCCCCAAATCCTACTCATTACAGTAAATGCATGTAACAGCGAGATAACTTGAAGCTTGTGAAACATATTCCAGAGTCAACCCACGCAGTAAATCGCTACTTAGGCTAAACATAACTGACCTGCAATTCCAGAAACAGCTACTTCAACTTCCCCACGTCCTTCAGGGCCCCTCATATAAAGTTTATCAAGTTTAGTTTGGTCATGCCCGAGTGAGAGTAAGCTCCCAAATTGTGATCTGCCAGCTATAACAGAGTACATATCAGGAAATGTAAACCTAGAAGGAATGAAATGGTAGGTACCTACTAATTTATATTTTTTAAAGAGGAAATCCTCTAGTTGAGCAAAGTGTTGATGCAGTTAAAAGCAGTGTCATAAAAAACACATGATTCTATTGAGTTTAGCTTTGGAAGAAAAAAAAGACAGAAAGATAAATACTTAATAGGTTTCTCGAACATGACAATAGTTTCCAGGCAGATAAAGTTGAAAGGACATAAGTACTTTATAAGACCATCTGAACAATAGTTTCCTTGGAGATAAATAGATGGATGGACTCACCATTGTAGGCTTCTCGAACATTTTGGTAGCTAACGTAGCCTGAGAAGAGTGTTCTCTGCAATAATCACAGTAAGCGCAATGTAGGTGAGAAATGAACTATGATATACTTCATACAGTTGTGTTACAGAAGCGGATATCTGCTAAAGTGTAACTATGTTTTAAGCAAGAGTGATGCCAGTAGGAAGAAAACCAGGACGTATGTACTTTAAAAATTATTATATATCTATAGCAGCAGAAAAGATTGAGGTGCAAAATGAATATTACTTACTGTGACACTGATAGTATGGGGTCTGAACTCTCAAACTGTTGTGAGTGTGAACACAATAATTTCCCGGTTGTCAACAACAAAAGTTCAACTACAAGAGGCTCCCATCGGTTGCCCATTTTGCCTAATAAGCCAAAATGGCTTATTAGAAAATAAAAATTAATTTATAAGTAAAACTTTTATAGATTTGTTCGTAGCGACTTAAAAGCCAACACTAACAAAAATTATGTTAAAAGCATCTCAAAATCAACTTCAAAATCAAGTTCAAAAATTCAAATTTTGGCTTATTCTTTGGCTGTTTAGGCCAAACGATGGGGCTCAGATACTCCCTCCGTTTCACAATGTAAGTCATTCTAGCATTTCCCACATTCATATTGATGTTAATGAATCTAAACATATATATCTATCTAGATTCATTAACATCAATTTGAATGTGGAAAATGCTAGAATGACTTACATTTTGAAACGGAGGAAGTATATCTTACGGTTTTAAATACATGATCACAGTTTCACAGATAAGATGGATTTGACATTCAATTACTAATTAAAACAAGAAATTACTGCAGATTAACTATACATAAGTCTTTCAAAAACAGATTAAAACTTCTGATCTTTAATTGCAACAGTGATAAAGAATATACTCCCTACGTCCCAAAATATAGCCACCTTTAGAGTGTTGCACAGGTATTAAGGAAATACATGGAATTAAATGGAGGATAGTTGTGGTTGAGATGATGTAATGTAAGTGAACAAATTAAATAAGAGAGGATTTTGATTGGTTGAGATGAGGGAGTAGGTGGCGAAATAATTTGGGACAAAATCAGAATGCTCCTATAGTTTGAGACACACGGAGAATTTACTAAGTGCTGAATTCTGAGAGAGAGAGAGTTTTGGTAGATTTGAGGGCAGAGGACCTTTGGTGGTTTTTCTTGGTTGCTCCCAGTGTTTAGTAGATTTGAGCTGGCATTCTTCGATTCAGTGTCTTCAGGAAAAGCTGCCCCATCATGTGCATTGAGAATCACACAATAGCAATGTTCGGGGTCTGACAAAACCTGCTCAAATTTAGATGGTCACTTTCATTCTATAATGACAAAAGCGATGCAATATCATAGATACATCCATATGAACAATATGCTAGAATACTGAGAAATGGGAACTTACAACAGCATCAAAAGTATCATCGAAGTCATCAACTGAGAAACAAATATTGGGATATGCAGGTACAGTTTCCACAGCCTGTCCAAAGATACAGGAATTTTTACTGAAACATCATCTCTTTCAAAAGAGAGACTGAAAATGCCAGGAAAAAGTACCTTTCTTCGATCAAGATGAAAATTTACACGGCTTGGGGATGCATACACAGTTTTTGTGACCTGTTTTAATAAGACAATGAGTTTAAGACATAATTACTTAATACCGAAAACATGTTAAACTTTAGCTAGGGTAACTAGTATTGCAACAATGAAATATAGAAGTCGAAGTTAAATAAAATGGACAGTCAGGCTCATTTCGACCCAATAATAGGAAGAAAAGAAACCCTAGTTGTACACTTTAGAAATGATCTTAAACACACTGAGAAGTGCCTCAACAGAAGCATGTTCCAGTCTTGTTCACAATCTGGATTGTTTAGCCCCAAAACAGGCAAAAAACAAAATTTAAAGGAATTGTTAACATGGAGATTTGAACTGAAACCCCTTTGCCTTCTAACTGTAGGAAGGAATCAAGTGACCAGGCCTACTGTTGGGCTATAATACGCATAAGAAAAAATATTAGGTTATATTAGCTTGTAAACAAGTCAAATAACTGTCAGTTTTCCAAATCAATTTGTTGAAAAAATTAAAATGTTGCCATCATCGAACAGTGTTCCTACAGGAAAACCAGCGAAATGGCCATGTGACCAGGTCTGGTTTAAAAGTGTTCTGCAATTGCTGTCCAGATCGACAGAAAATAAAGCAATAACGACTAGTTTCAAACTACAACATTTTGGGATATAGACCTCTAAGATGTTAGGCTTGAAACTTATATTAATTTTGTAGTTCTATTAACAAGTCTAAGACATCATGATATAACTGGATAAAGTCAGTTACAAGAAAATCCAATTTTCCACAAGCATCCATGATATAATGAAACTTCCTACAGTCATTGAACAGCAGAAATTGTGGAATGTTCTGAAACTATTAATCATAGTGAATTCTAAGTAGTCATTACACAAAGCTCAACCTTACACAACACAAGTCTGTGCACCTATGTAATAAGATTCACTGGTAAATGATGGAGTGCCGTGAAATGCTTACTTGTACAGTACCTTATAAACTGGTGATAATGGTTTGCTTTTCTCTGCACGGCTGCAAAGATCCCTGACACTGTAGAGCAGATTGTAAGAAACTAACTTTGCCAGATATATCAACTAAGGAGGTAAAGATGATACAACAAGAGCTCTCAGGCTCAGGTTGCACAACAATAGTTATTGGTTGGAACCCAAACATCTGTGAGAACCACCACCCCCCCCCCCTTCTCCCTCCCTGTGATGCCAGGCCGAAGTCCAAAGTAATATTGAAAGATACAGTACATCAATCTAACTTGTTGCGAGTTAATGAACTAACCTAGACCAGTTCTCAGCTGCTACAAGAAACAGAAAATAGAAGCATACACCAAGTACAGACAACATGTGGCAACTGTGTTGCATTACAGTGAAGGAAGGATAAGAACTTAGACCAAAAGTACAGGTAACGTTTTACTCTGACAGATTGGGACCAGCAAGAGGATGTGCATCACCAAATGAACTTTTCATTGTTGACATAAATAACAGCATGCCAAAAACTTTTCATTGTTGACATAAATAACAGCATGCCAATCATTCAGTATAAATACTAGATAAAAACTTGCAATATCTTGACAGAACTGGCAGAAACGTACCTGCATATTGCAACTGTAACAGTGTATGATGTGTGAGCAATTAAATTCAAATAGAATGAACGCTCCCAATCAACTCCAGCTGAATTTATATTGCTGATCTTTTCAAGCTGCTCCACATAAAACAAAGGAGAACAAATAAAAAACCAAGAGTTAGTATGTATTATCAGAGACTTCTTTTCTGTAGAAAGTATGTTATGAACCAAACACTAGCTTATGGAAGTCAATTTACCATATTCAAGTCTATCAAATCGTGGCAACCATAAATACACTACAAAACTTACTAGTGCTAGTGCAAGGAATAATAAATGCTATTAGATAGGGGAAAAAAAACATGAGCGAAAAAATATGTAATAGTTGATGCAGTTCATCTTGATACAGTTTTAAAGTGAATAACTCAACAGGAAATTACAGAAAAAAATTCTAAAATGGAAGGAAAGAGTGTCATATGAAAAGTTTCCTTGAAGCTACTACCAAAAAGGGAAGCATGCATTTATTGATATGATCGAAATTGATGAAGATAGTCTTGGTTAATTTACCATAGGAGCCCATCTTCTCACAAAAAAAGGAGGTGGATCTTCCATGTTATCGTTGAACCCATGGCCATGCATTTTCTGCACCAGCATTGAGCCTCAGTTAGCATACAAGATAACACTGTAAGCTAAAATAAGGGGAACTGAGAAGGATTGGAAGTTTACCATATTATTATTAACAAAAAAGACGAGGTCATCCTCTTCCCTCCTCTTTGAAACCCTACCACGCACGAAGAAAAGATCAAGCATTTCATGCCAGAATCGATCATCCATTCCCACGTCTGATGCATCATCTTCAGCATCAACAACTGTCCACCCAATCAAATGGGAATGTTTTTTCACCATAGTCAGCAGCTCATTCCTGAAAAGACAAAAAGAAACAAAAGGTTGAGAAGTGCTTAAAAGGATATAAGGACATATGCTTTTACAGAAAATGGAGATAGGCTCAAAACAAAATCGACCAGAATTGTTGGGTGGTATGTGGTACAGTGGAGGATTGAAGTAGTGTTTTTTTTTGTTGAAAAAAAAAAGAAAAGAAAATTATTTTTGAGCGGAAATGACAAGGGTGATCCTCTTAGTGATGTTTTCCTTAATTAGAAAGGGGATGAAGAGCACTTATGAAGCACAGAAGACAGGAGCAGGGTTTAAGCATGCAACCTGAGCTTAGTGTTGTGATGGGTTCAGTTGTAGTGCAGAATGCGAGTGGGGTGTTAGATTAAGAGTTGCAGAGATTAGTGTATGTCCAGGGTGTCTCCCCCCATGAATATGATGCCAGGCACGGGTAAACCTAGATAGAAAATCCGACGTTACGATGGGTACTAGCAATTCTTGTTTACATAATGCAATTCTTTTGAATGAATTGGGCAGAAATCTGAGGAGGTAGAGCTAGAGAAGTTGAAGTTTGTGCGGAACTAGTAGGAAAGAAGAAACAGTGAGATTGAAAAGAGTTAGTGGTTACTTGGGGCAAAGCTAGCTGAGAGAGAGAGATATAATAAGAAAATAAAATTAAATTTCCTTGGCAGGCGGGGGCGGGGGCGAGGGTTGGGGTCCAAAATTAGGATGGGGATAGAGATTACCTTGAGGGGGCCGACGACGACGAGGAGGAGGAGGAGGAGGAGGGCTCCAAGCCGAACCTCGGTGATCTCTCGACTGCGACTGCGCGTGATGCGGAGGGCGAAGGAGGAGGAGACGCCATAGATTTCCTCTCCTCTCGTCTCCACAGGTAGATAGATAGATAGAAGAAGAAAGAAGAAACAAATTGATTCTGAATCGAAGAAGGAAGAAGGAAGCAATCAGATTCCCTTCTTCCTCCCGCAACGCAACGCAACATGACATGAGCAAGCAACTACTCCTCTCCTCCTAGAAGTAGAAGAGGTGCACATGGGCTAGGCCCACCCGCACAGCTTGCCTAACCTTTTGGCCCATTTCACGGAATAAGTTCACTTGCCGTCCCATATGTTTATTATGTCTTTGAGTTTAACTGACATCCCTAAGCCGCAGTACCATTCACATTGCTCCTGCCTAGCTATGTGTGACACATTGGAGATTAGGTGCCACGTCTGTAGCTGGCGCTCCCCACCAGAAGCCCGCGCGTCCAAACAAGGGCACTCCTTCTTCAGCTAGCTTTGTCAGAAAAAGCAAGGAAACGAGCCTCGGAAAGCGGGTGCGACCGATCCAAAGCTACAACTCCTCTCCTCCGACTTCTCCGCCACCGCCGAGGCTGCCGCCACAGCTTACGTGGGCTTGGAGACAACACCGCCTGGACCACCTCTCCGGTTAGATCCGCGCTCAACGAGATTGCCGCCGTTGCGTGGGCGCCGACAGTGAGGAAGATAAACGGGGGAGAAGGAGTCGACGGAGAGGGAGAGGTCACGCTGCGGAAGTCAATCCGGAGATGGTGAGGGAGGCGACGGAGAGGAAGAGGAGCCTCTCGAGATCCACAGCTCGACGGCGCCGTCGTCCGCGGCTCCACTCAGCGCAACCGTCGTCCGCGTCTTCCGACCCTGTCGAGGAGAAGTGGAGGCGTGGAGCCCCACCTAGCGCCGTCGCTACTTGGAACGTGTTAACGACCAAATTTAGTAATTTAAGTATCGGAGATGAAGATAAAATCGAAGCGGAATTCAAGAGATAGATCATTCCGGAAATAGAGCAAGAATCGGCCGAAGTCCGAATCGGCTACGATCAGGATCGGCAGAGTCCGAGTCGGATAAGGTAGCCGATTGAGCCGATTCCGACAATGTAACTCGGTACACGTTGTCGGGTTGAGTTAATGTGCTTCATATGGATTGCCACGCATGGATTGGGTCCCGAAAAGGTAATCGTATCTATTAATTAGGATATTTTATGTAAACTCCTTAGAGATAAGTTTGGGCAAAAGTCTGTCGCAAAGACTTATGGTATATTAGAGTTTGTTAGAGATAAGAGTCGTGTCTGACAAAGACATACTTTGTATCTCGGGTATAAATATGACCCGAACCCATGTAATCAAATAACAATCGTTCAATACAATCTCGGCGCATCACCACCCTTTTACTTTCGACGAGTTCTTGCTTTCGGGTTGAGCTGCATCAGTTTCAATCTTCAACTAGAGGTAAAGCTTGTTATGGCGCTTGCGTTCTCGGGATTAGTGCTTCCATCTTTATGACACTCTAATCCTGTTTATGTAAATCGTCGAGTTATCATATATCCTATATAATCTCTGGCAATATTGTTATTTAACTCTCAATCGGCTAATATCTATCACTAGAAGGCAGCCGATTAGGTTAAATACCAACGTTGACTTAGATTATATAGGGTATCCACCACCCTATGAAACATCCAACAGCTTGATTGTCTAGATATTGTATTTATTTTCATACTTATGGTTGTATCGGTTATGTTTGACCTCATAAGTCATGATTATAACCTCAATCTCTAGCCTGCTTCTTTGGTTGTCAATTAGAATAGTATCGGGGTTTCAACCGATCTTACCTGATTTAGCTTTATGTTTTATATACTTAATAGACTAGCAAAAATGCCCGTGCGATGCAACGGGTAAAAAAAATTCTAATAATAATACACGTTTTTCATGCATAATCATGTCAATGACAATGTTTCTATTTTAATGAGCGGCTTGTTTTTTTATAAACAGTGTTTTTTTTTCTTGTGCAATTTTCTCAAACCATTTTTCAGAAATGGCGTATTTCTTTCTAACAGTTTTTTCCTACCATGTTTTTTTTGCTTTTTTTACTGACGAAGAAAACCATATTTTTCTCCCTTTTTTCTTTTCTTTTCTCGTGTGTTTTTTTCTTGTTTTCTCGCACCTTTTTTTCTTGTTTTTTTCGAAGGTTCTTTTTTGTTTTTTTCCAATACAGGAGAATATATATATGACGAAACAAAGCCATGTACTAGATGGCAAAAAATTGATGGATCCTATCCGACTCAAGCATCCATCAATTTAGCTTTTTTCTGACAGTTTTTTCAGAGCAATTTGTTTTTTAATAGACGGTGTTTTTTTTCTTGCACGGTTTTTTAAAACCATTTTTTTAGAAATGGCGTGTTTTTTCGATAGTTTTTTCCTCGCATGTTTTTTTTAAATATTTTACCGACGATGGAAATAATTTTTCTCGCGCGTCTTTTTATTTTTTTATTGACGATGGAAAACCTTTTTAGCATGTTTTTTGCGCTTTTTTCTGACTTTTGCCTCACACGTTATTTTAACCGTTTTTATTTTCTCATGCATTTTCTCTTTTTAAATAGTTAGATTAGAAATAGAGAAGAGATATATACTGGTTAGAAATATTTTGTTTCGCCCTTTCCATTTTTTTTCTCTCTTCCATTTTTTATATTTTTTACGAACCATTTTTTCGCCACTTTCTTAGGAAATCGAACGAACTTTTTTTTAGATGTTTTTTTAGATTTTTTTTCACCTTTATAGGAACCATACTTTTTTTTCCCATTTTTAAAGTAATCGGATCTAGCTTTTTTTTCGTCACCACTTTTTTTTTGCCTTTTATATGAATCAGATTTTTTTCCATCGGATCTACAGTTTTTTTCGCCACCTAGAGGAAAAAACTTTTGTTGTTGTTGTTTTCTTTATTTTCTTTTTTTGTGCGGCTTTTCTTTTTCTTTTTATGCACCTTTCTGCCTTTGTTCTCTTTCTCTTTTATTATTTTTTTTAACAAAAACGACCTCAAGTACCTTGTTGCATGATTATAGGGACTCAAATGTAAATATAAAAATTACAGGGACTCAAATATAAAAGTACAAACCCAAAAATTAAAATCATATAAAAATGGAATGCTCTCGACCTGTAGATTCCATTTTTGCAAACAGATCTTCAATCCGGCACATCAATTTTTTTCACCAATCTAGAGTCGGACTTTTTTTTCGTTTCTAACCGCGAATCTGATATAGGAGTCGGACTTTTTTTTCGCTATTTCGGATATAGGAGTCGGACTTTTTAATTTTTTTCGCTATTTTTTTCCAGACGAAGGAATCATCTCTTATTTTTTAAGTAGTAGAGATATGCTAAATCTGCCCTTTATATTAAGATATTATTGTAATAAAGTATATTAAGCTTTTGTTTGATATGTTCTATCTGTTTTAACATCTTAATATAGAGTGGTATCGGAGTACTAGCTGATACATGCTAGATCTATCTGATCGGCTATGCTATAAGCGTTTATAAACTTCATGTTAATATATACTTGGATCTAAGTGATTTATACTGTCTCGGCATGGCGACCGATCTATCCCAATCACTTGGTTTAAATATACATCGACAGAAGGATTATATAGCGTTAATATCTACAGTTGATCGAGTAGATTTAATCTTGTCTTGCTTATTTATAACTGCCGATCGATTCACATATGACATCGGCTTGAAGATAAATGATGAGTCAATGGCGACTGGCCGATCGGCTATCATTTATAGATGTAACAGTGGTTTCTTTGTTTTTATTTCTTGTTGATTGCAGGATCAAATCAATTGGCACGCTCACGAACCTAAAGGCAAGATTTTTGGACCTGCACTGAAGTTAAGCAGATATTCCAGGCCAGTGTATGTTTTTCGCATCAACACGCTTTTGGCACGCCCGGTGGGACACGACAAACAGCAATGTCGGCAGAAAAGCCACCCCCGTCATTGACAGGCAAGCCCCCAGTTTCTCCTCAAACCAAGATTCCAAAACCTACTGGGTTCGAGGTTAACGAAGCAAACATTGTTCCGGTCACTGTAGACAAGCTATCACCAGAACAAAAGAAGGAATTCGAACTGATGATGCAGAGCACTCAGGAACAATTCATGAAGTCGTTCGCAGAAACCCGCGGGAAAGTTTACCAAAAATACAAGGTAAAGGTAGTTGCTGCCGATGAGGTCGGCTCAAGTTCATCCCAAGGCGGTAAAGGTGCTGGAGATGCTTCAGGCGACAAAGGTGACGGCCTTCAGAATGGTGCAATTAAAGATCTTGGTCCAGATGGCAATGAAGTACAGGAAGAACCTCCTAGGCGCATGAATTTCCAAGATCAAGTCGATTATGCCATGCAACACGCCTTGATCAACTAGTCCGGAGTGCTTGTCAACACATTGACAAATATGATCAAATATGTGATTGACGACACAATAGCTGAGCATCAGACAACGGGGCCAGTCTACCTGCCAGGCAGTTTATTCCTGAACTACAGGAGCTTGGTGACAAGTAATCAACAGAGTACTTCCGCTACGCCACAAGTCCAGCCGACGGCTGCAGCCTCGACTACGGCACCAGCTGCGCCATCATCGGCACAAAGGCAGACGGTTAATAATCCTCATCTCTTGTCCAGAGAGCAGTCGCAACATGCTGGTCAGAATATCAATCGGTTGTCCCAGGAGGAAATTGCTTCAATGTTTTTGCCACCTCAGCCGACCAGTGGACCAGTTCAGCAGATACCACCGAGGCAGCAGATAGTTCAGTCGATTCAATAGCTGCAGATAGTGCAGCACAACTGTACCCACAAGACACAACCCCACGACATGTTTCCATGCGCCGCCATGCCACCACGATATACCGGAAAGATCCGTGACAGGACTCTTCATATAACCCCCTCTAATCAAGCGTACCATACCTCAGGTTTCACCCTCACTCCTCAACAGGCAGCATGCAGTCCACTCTCGTGCCTAGGTGAATCCGGAAGTAGCAAAGGCCGTCGCAAGGGCCATCGCAACTCCATCACGCTCACCCTTACCTGGATATGCCAGC